GAGCAGCTTTTTTAATATAGAAGCAACTGAAGATAGCAAAATCCAATATATTGTCATGGCAAATGTCACTTCTTAGTAACAGTGAACCAGAAGAGCACAAAAACTAGGTTTTAAGCACAATAATTATTTTAACACTATATAAGGAAGTGCTTAAGCAGCTGAGGTTTAGCATTGGCTTGTCCTTTAAGAGCATAAAAAATGTAGAAAAAGGTAGTTAGAAAGCTTATCTTTTATTCTTTTTTTCAGGGACAACAGAGTACACTAGGACTGGGGAAAAGAAGAATGATGTGATATGGTAATACAAATGTCACAATATTTTTATGTCATCTAGCAAAAGGTTAACAAAAGCAAAACTATTCAAACATTCCCACCCATCAGAAGGATAGAAGTGACGCCTGCCTAGTTCCTTCTGGGACACCCAAAGGACACCACTTATGACACTAATGCATTTAAGTTTTGAAAGGTTTCCAAATACCACTCATCAAAACACTTCTGTCTTAAGGGTCCTTTAACCCCATCACCATTTCCAGACATTTATTCCCACATTTTACTTTAAAAAAGGTAACTTCATCCCTTGTTCTCCATTGCTCACTCTTCCATCTTTATTCCTCCAAGATGCAGAAGTCGTTCCCTGTGTACTTGGCCTGCACTGGGTCCCTACTCACACGCTCACATCCCCTGTACCAGCAGTCGAGGCTTTTTCACATCTTTCTTTTTGACCTTCTTTGGAACTAGGTCTGCGTGATGGCAAGCAACCGGTGAAAATACAAATAAGCAAGAAGGCTCTGTTAACTTCCACACCACTGCCTACTGCGGACATCATCTCTGATTATATCCGACCTCTACAGATGTAGCTGCCTGAAACACTGGTGGACCTGGGCTTGTTTCTGCCCATCAGACCAGGTGATTAGTCCCTCGGTGACACCATCTCTTTACAAAATGACCTTTCACTATCCAGATCCATGCATCTGGTTGTGTTTGATCGCTCCTGTTTGAACTGGAGGTCAACCTAAAGCATATTTTCCTCTGTTCTACAGATAACATCTCAATTCTCAGAAATAATTGCAGTTCACAGTTGAGTGGTCAGACTGCTTTCTCCAAGACTGCAGTCCTTTATGCATCAAAACTACCAATAAATTTACACTTTAAAGGGAAAGTAAGGAATTCAAACTTCCTTATTATATCAATTCATTTACTCAAGAGTTTCAGAAGTAGGAAAGCTATTTAGCTCATATAAATTTTGTTCAAAATGACCAAATGAAGAAATATGAAAAGGGAAAGACTTAATGCCGTTAACCTGTCATTTCATTTTTGCGTTCCAAACATAAAAATCATTAAGAAAAAATCATTAAGAAAAAGTCATAGTCTCCTCCTGTTTTAATCTAAAAGATACTTCCAGGAGACCACCTAACATAGAGAGAAAGGTCAACAGTATTTTTGCAAGATGAAACAGAAAATATAAATAATGAACTTAAAAATGTAATTTAATTTCAATCTTAAAATTCTTCTGCATGCAATAATATATTTATTTCAGGTCTGCTGCACTTAGCCTGACACTCTTACATTAAACAGTTGCCCTATGAAGCACCCTGAATACGTCACGATCTCCTTTGTGCAGCAGAAACTCCAGTTCAGGTACTTCTTCCAAATACAACAGCAGAAGAACCTGAATCCACACCTGCCAGGCTCCAGGTAAGTGCATAACTATTGAGGTATTAAATAGTATGGATCTACCCTTTCTCTCCAGATATCATTAAAAGCCAAAACTCCAAAGAGTCCTTTGTTTCCATTGGTTTTTCTATTCTCCTGGATGTGCACATCAGACTGATGTGGCACATGTAGAACATGTAGAACATGTGCCACCTGCTCTACAGTTCCACCTCCTGTATTTTCATAACACCTGACTACCATTCACCTAAAACACAAGGACTGAGCTAAGATATTGTCACATTTCTAAAATTTCAGAGTCTATAAGCAATAATGAAAGCTTGGCAACTGAATGTCTCAAACAAACATTTATTATGCTGGTGTTTTCTGAACTGTTATTTTAGATACAGTGCCTCACAAAGATTTCCATTCTTATTCACTGATATCCTTAAAAACAGATAAGAAGGGATGGACTTTGCTTCATTTTGTGGTCAAAATGAAGCATGTTTATCCATGCTCTTACCAGCTATTTCTGCAAATACTTTTTCAGAGCTCTCCTGGAGATACTCATATGCCCATGTTAATAAGAAATCTGCAGTTTGGTAAACTTCTGTCTCAAAATCACTTAAATATTGTCTTGGGTTTAGTGGGATACTGTAAAATTTAATGTTACCCTCTACTTCAGCATAAGAAGTGAAAGAGTAATCTCCTCAGCTCCACTAGGGTTTTAAAACAAAATAAATAGCAAGCTTCATTTCTATAGCATTTTCCTATATCAAAATAATAGCTGAATTTTTTTTGTAAAGAGGTTGTATGTAGCAGTAAGAAACTGAAGACCATATTAAAGCCCTTATTTTTCCCACGCCTTTTTAAACATCATCTGATTAATTCAAGATGATCTTCCACAACTGGGTGTGACCAATCTGCAAAGGTAGATGGATGTTCCCATCAGAGGAGAGGACAGTCAATCCAACAACTCCTGCCAGGTGGCAAAGGGAGCAGGAATTCACCTCTGAGGAACACACAACTCTGTCAGCACAGGCCTACACAGAAGAGTGGAAGGAAGGACGCAAGAGAATTTCAAATGCATGGACTTTTCTTGGAGAATATGATTTAGAGATCAAACTGTGCTGCATAGGAAGAGAAATTGAGCACTTCCTTCATTACAACAACAAATATTTAGGAAGATCTCCAAGCAAAGGTTTAAGTGTTCTTCCTGTCTGTTACGGACAAATGGCTCAATAACTCACCTCAGATTAAAAGCAAAACTTGACCTTGCCTACAAAAATGTAGCAAGAATGACCAAAATGTTTATTATGCTATTGAATTTAGACTCTAAATTTGTTTTCTATTTCATTCTCTAATTCTGCTAATTCTGGAGCTCAATCTGGATGTCTGAAAACATGCAACAACGTAATAGGGTAATTTTTCTGCTCCCAACAAAATACAGAAACAAAGAACAACTTTAGAAGACACCTTTGCAAATGAACTTATATCCTATCATCTAAAGTAGCTTGTGCTCACAACTGGTGTCACAATTAGCCTTAAGAAGGCATTAAAGATATTTATTCATTCTCTTTTCCATCTCATTCGGGGAAAAATATCCATCCCTCCAAGGAAGGATGATCTTGCAGCTATGGAAAATGGGAGATCGACTACTACTTCAAGTGGATTATCTGCATGAAGTCACACAACAATACACTTAAATCTTGTACTTTATCTGTCTGAACTGTTAAATGGAAATGCTAACATATGGTTTGAGTAGGAGGTTGGCCTGGGTGACTTCCTGAGGTCCCTCTTGACCTACATTTTCTGGTGATCCTATTTGCTTTGAGACACACAGGATGAATGAGAAGGGCACTCAGACATTATGGGGTTGATTAATGGGGAAAATCTCAGATAAGTATCCTAATTGCATAGCTTTTCACTAGATTTTTATGGGGGAAAAATCTTGTCAAAATGCTCATGAACTCTGGGTTTTTCACAAGTGTCATCTATGAGATCCAGAGGAAAACAACAGTCATCCTGTTCTGGATGATATGGCAGAACCTGCTGGTTTATGTTGTTTTTTAGAAAGCCAACAAACCGAAAAACAACTAAGCATTCATTTTGACTACAAATTTTTTAAGTGGCACTATAAACTCAAAAAGCCTTTCCCTGAATATTACGTGTAAGTTAAACTAGCAGGCAGGTTAAGAAAAAGTCTTTGTAGACAGACTGATGCCAACATGAAATCATGAACAAAAAAAAGAAGCAGCACTTGTCATCTTGCAACGCAGATTATCCAATTTATTGTCAGTTTTTCACCAATGATAGAAAAGACTCTGTTCAGCATCACTGGATATGCTTCTTTTATATTAATGTTCAGCATTTCCTAGAGGAGTCATTCCCTTTCTCTTTGAAAGCAGTAACGTCTTTCTGAGAAGTTCAAGGTTCTAGACTCTGTATTTCTGAAGGGCCTTCACTTTAAATCACTAGCCAGTATTAAATTCTCAGTTTCTCCAGATTATCCTTCTCTCTTATTACTGTTCTACTTAAATATGAGGAAGAAAAAAACTCAGATAAATATACCTTGAATTTCTTGCTGTGATATATGTCAGGCTCAGATTGAAGAAAAATTATTTTTTTCAAAATAATTCACTATAAATTGAGTGTAATCCACAGATGCAAATGCTGAAGACACAAACATGTATGTGCATTTACAACAGATCCTCAAGGAATTAAAAAGCAATACCAAAATCCCCAAATCCCCCCTTTGCATAAATTTGATTTCCCTGCACTTGTCTTTCCTCACCACAGTTTTCTATGAATCCATTTCCTAGACCACATTATGACCCAGTTGTATATCCGTACAGGGATATAACAGAACATAAGATACCACATGCTCACTATGCACTGCACATTCCCATGAGTATAAAGCGCTTGCAAGGATGACAGTAAAAATATTTTAAAAAATAAATTGCTAGCAGGTAAGATGTTTCTGTGTCTAATGTAGAACATTACTTCTCAGGGTGATGCTGGGTCAACAACCTCTTCCTCTTAAGATACATCCTCTTCTGCAATTACCTCAGCTACAGCAGGTTCTAAAAGCAAAAACATTAAAAAAGAAATACAAAGTCCTACTCTGCACATGGTCTCAGTTTCTGCTACTAATGTCTTTAATTTTCTAGCAGATTTCTCAAACAGGGGAGTTGTGAGTGACTTAGGACTGCCTGGGCCCAAATACTAGTCTTAGCAGTTCGTAGTGCTATTTACAAAACTTGCATCTAATATCCCATTAAAAAAAAAGCCACAGATAAAAGGGAAAAAAGCTTAAAAGAAAACACAGTAAAAAAAACTCCAACTCTTCTTACCTTGCTGGAGGCACATCAATATTTGAAGAAACAACCTTGCGCTTCTGTTCCAGAAGACAAACAGAACGAGTGTTTTCCTTTTCATACTCATGAGCTCTATTTAGTTTTTTGGTCTCTGCTGTTTTTAAATCTTCCTCCTTTGCGGTAAACAGGAGAAACTGTTGGTCTGGCAGTTTTTGACTGATGTCACTTTTTACATCCTCCTGTTGAAATGCAGGGAAGGTCATTTCACGCTTGATGTTGGCTGCCTGAAAAATTGAAAGCAATTATTAAATTTTCCTCTAATTCTCCTAAAATGTAAGGGGGGGAACCCAATACCCACAGGCATTTATTTCTAATTAGTTCTCTGAATTAGTGAATACCATTTGTTTGCCCTTCATAAATTCAGACACTGTCATTAATTTCTCAACAGTGCTGAAGACTACCCAGGAAAACAAGCAACTCTAGCCCATTTGATAAAGCAGTCATTTACCTCTCAATGTTAAATGAAAAAGGTATTTGAATCAGTATTTGAATTAGAATGTTGGAAACCACATTATATACAACATATCTTTAATGTACACACATCTGTGCTGCATAACTATGGAAAAGAAATTGTAGCTGCCCTCCTAAAATTCCAGAAAAAAGTCAAACTTTATCCACATAAAAGGCAACTAAGAAACTAAAGTGCTTCTCAGAGCCACTTACTGGATTCTTTTGTAAATGAGGGTTTCTCAGGAGCAGAAAAATAATTTGCTATGATCCAACTCAGCTGCCAGAAGGCAAAGGGGAGCGAGTGATATCAGCAGGATCTCCATAAGGAGCCTGTCCAGCAATGAGGAGCACTCTCTGCTTACCAGCACTTCCCAGATCTTCAGGTCTGCTGCTTCCCATAAGCAAAGACTACCTAAGCAAAAAGGTATCTTAACAAATACATTACCTCTCTGGAATACAATGTGTTGGTGTTTATAAAGCAAACTGTTGTGAGGTTGCAGTGAAGAGCCTGGAAAGCCATCAGAACCAAGACACTCCATCTTCCCAGCAAGCAAAACAAAGCCCAGGATCTAGATTTTCCTCTGAAATGCCACTTCCTGGCCAGCTACACTTCCCAGCTTCATGAAGGCAGGCCCATCTGGCAGACAATGTCTCTACCCAATTCAAATAGCCAAGCAAAATACGGCCCAGCGTAATGGTCCACCTTGAACAGAGGCACTTCCACACAGGTAGTGCCACATACGTTATCTCAGACAAATCCAGGCACCTTCTAGGACTGGCAAACTGGATTTTTAAATACTTGTAAATTATTGCTGATCTTTACAGTGGAGATATCCATGCTGTGTTGCCCTCAGATAGTAAGAGCATCAATAAACTGAAATTCCTATGTCAACTCTTCCCCCTTATTCCTCATTTTCATCATCCAAAAAAATTATTCAATGTCCCTATGTATATATTTATGCATAAAGATATATTCCTCCCTCCACAAATCTCTCTGTTTATAGATTTCAAACCCTGGCAGGTATGAAAATGGTGCAAACAATCTTAAGTTCACAGGAAAGACATTCTTGCCAGGTAATTTTGTTTTGTTCGATAAAGTATATTGAATTGCTAACGCATAAATACTTAGGACTGATGATTTAATTGCTTCTAGTGCTTCCACTGAAGGCCTTTTAGTAGTTTCTTCAAGAACAAAACAAGAATTATTATTTTATGAATGTAAATAGTAGAAAGAATTAGTCACTTTACACTTCTTCACACACAAACAAGATGACACATTACAGGGAAAATCTGTCTGGAAGACAAAACAGTCAGCATGTGATCATACAGAATTAGGAGAAGACATATAAATAAGATAAATTTAATTCTGATTTAACTTATTTTTTAAAAACTTCTTAGATTCACAATAAGCCCTTTTCTCAAAGTCTGGGAATCTTAACACATATGGAGATGCCTTCAATTTTCCTGAAAATTGACTTAGAAGTGATGTCCTAAAGTAAAAAAAAAAACCCGAAAATATCCAAGTTCCAATATCCAACCCTATAAGTGTCTTCAATTTATAAAACTGTAGTGTTTTACTCAGTTTCAGCAAAAATACTGTGTCATACATTATTGAGTTTTCTTTACAGACCTAATAGTGAGGTTACAGGCTCAGACTACAGCTAAAGCCTAAAACATAAATAACAGAATATTTGTACTGTGATACCAGATAATCTGTTCTTATATATCAAATGTGTCCACATCGAGTTCAAAATACATTCAAGCAACACCTTCGTTTTCCTATGTCAATGTGCTCTAATTAATAGCTGGCCCCATGCAGGCATATAGAAGTGAAGAAAGACAAAAACCACAGAAGCAAATGCTGAAGTTGCAGAGCTGCTGCCAAGCAGTTTGGATTCTTGGGCTAAATGGCCAGAAACAGCAGAAGACCAAATCCATTGCTTAGACTAACTCTCTTCCTTTCCTTCAGTTCTCAACAGACGTTTGGAAATATCAACCCCTTTCTGAACTTTCCCTTGAGAGTGACTGCATATAAAGAATCTTTTCTGCTTTGGAAGCAGATGATCATGAGAGAAAGCCAAGAGTTTCCCTTGGTGGGCACTCTCCAGTAGCTTTCTCCTGCTCCACAGGCAGTTTTTCTATTTTAATTCATCCATGTCTATGGAAGCCATTTCCACTTGAAACACCTGCCCTGTCTGGAAGGGTATGGGAAGTCTTTTGCCAGAAATACAACCAACTACACAAGCAGCCGTTGATGTGGGGAGTGCTGAGGGCCACAGTCACTTGAATGATCAGGCTCCTCACTTTCTGGCAAACACACCGATTAACGACCAGGACCCCTTTGATTTCAACCTCTCACAGTTCCGAGATTAACACGGAAAATTTCCAATATATTTTTTCAGATAAATTGACTGTCCTGTCATATCTTACCAGTAACTTTTTTTTTCCATAGATCCTTCATATTCTTTTAACCTCTTTGAGGCTTGTGGTGGCCCTTTAAGTCCACAATATTTCAGCAAGAATTTTGTGGAAGGTCTAACCCAACCAGACAGCCTGTCTTACAGACAGACAGATATTACCACTGTAACACCAGTTTATTTCAGTTTACTGCCAGTACTTCACATTCTCTCTCCTTTGCTGTTCTTGAACTTTATGACTATGTTGTTCCCTAATGGTTTGGCTTTTCTTGTCATCATACCTCTGGAATTGCCACCTTATTGCCTCCAGTATCAACTGCTGATAAAAACTTAGGTCTTTTTCACGCACTTGATGAATTATCACTCATACAAGCCACTTTATAATAGGCTGGTTTTCTATGCAATTCATTATGTATTTCCACCCTTAAGCCATCAGCAACCTTCAGTTTATTTTCAACTGAGTCCTTTGCAACCTGGCCTGGGGCAACCAACATCACTTGGAAGTTCAGTCACAGAAACGGGAGTTATAAACCACCAGCAAATTTTAAAAACTAGTTTTGTTTCTCTCTGCAGTTACCCTCACCTGCCTTTGACAACTTCCACCACTACTGGGCAAGAGAAACTTTAGTTATGCCACCACTTGGAAGCAACAGCCCAGTATTACCTGTGCCTTCCGCACTGAAGCTCATGCATGGGGCAGTGCCAGAGCTGGAGTCTGATGTGGCTTTACTCCTTCTGTAATCATCCTGCAAAAAGTGAAAGCCACTTGTTGCTTTGGTTTCTAAGTAAAAACTTTATTACAAAAGCCTTTCAATTTCTGTCTTGAAGTTGTCAAGACATGGTATATATTTAGATTGAGGGGTTTATTTTTAAGTTACAGTTCTTGCTTGCTTCATTATTATTAAATGGCAAAATTTAATACTCTATGTGACAGCTAAATGATTACCACAGTTAACATTTTCAGAAGTATATTAATAATTTTTCATTGCAAAAACCATCTTAAACTGCCTATAGAAATTTTATTTGGTGGTATCTTGTCATAACCAAATTGCTAGTACTGAACTCCACATTCCCCAATCAGGACCATGTGTTGCAATGTAATTCCTGCCCTAAATGAGCATGATTGACACTGACACAAATTTTGAGGAATTTAAAGAAATTTTTCTTAATTCCTTACAAAGGATGTAAGGCTGCAATTTTTCAGCAGTTTAGGTCCTAACCTATCTGCAGTCAATTTTTGCTATGCCCAAAAGCACATCCAGAGAAGATGCTGACGTTGCAGTCAAACTTCAGTCTTCTCCAATTTCACTTAAATTTCAGCTTGGATTTTGCCCTGAACAGCAAAAAAAATATTGATCAAACTCAGCCATTGCACTGCTTATTCAAAGGATCAGCAAACACTACAATAAGTAGACCTATCACATTGATATGCAAACACGGAGACTTAGATTTGACAGACTATGTATGTCATTCCTCAAGTACAACCTGACCGGACTTTATCATCTTCCCTTGCTTTATGGTGCACTGCTGCTTAAAAACTGAAGTAGGTTATTTTCAAATAGTTCTCTAGCCTTTAACAGGCATTAAGATGTCTGTGTTTCTTATACAATGGAAAGTATTAAACTCCCAAGAATATTAGCATTATTTGCCTCTATGTGACCCAAGTGTATAGAAATATGTCTTCAAATAGGAAAACTGACTCCCATCTATGTTCTTTCCTTTTTTTTGGTGCAGTACCTGTGTATTCAGGTGGGCACACCAGGAGCAGAAACCTAATTTTTAAAAGGCTTTGTAATGTTTTACACAGACAAAGTGTAATACAAAAAACTACTGAAAGAACTGCCACACCACTTACCATGCCTACTTTGCTGACTGTTTTGCAAACAACTCAAGGGCTGATTTCCCAATGAGGAGTCGGCAGTGGGTACTGGATGTGATGGAAGTGCATAGGCAGAAGGCAGCTGCCCAATGCAAAGCATTGCTCCCCGAGCAGCACTGCCTTCCACCCTGGGACTCGATGCAGCCCCTTCCATGAAGCGTCAGTTTACACCAGCTGAAGAACATGTGATTGCATCTGCCTGCCATGAAACAGGCCAGCAAACACAGGCTCGGCAGAGAGAGGCTGGCACCATGCTGTCAGGCAGCAGGACAGCAGTGAGAGCCCAGCAGGCTCCCTTAATCTTCTGGAGGAATACTGGCTGACTGGTTTCTCCTCACTCTGTCTACAGGGATTCTGGAAGGACTTAGATGTCTGAGAAAGTCCCCTCCATATACAGTTTGAATCCTAGAGACACAGGCAAATTAAATAATTTTGCAACTGTGGTCTACTTTGTTCTGTTCGTACAGATAAAAAAGCT